AATAAATCTACAAGTCAAATTAAAAGAAGATAATTTGCAACCTCTAATATTTAATAAAAACTTCTACAAAAAAAGATCAATTATTATATTTAGTATTAAAAAATAAATTTTTTATTTAAAGATAGATAATTTATAACCTTCAAAATACAAAAATAAAAATGAGATAATCAAGTCACTTCTAAAATAAGATAATAACAATGAATTAAAAACTCATTGAATTATTAGTGACTTAAATTTTAAAAAACTAAAATATCAATACACTCTTCTTTCATTCAAAAAGACTAAAAAATCATTCAAAGATGATATAGTATTAAAGTAGTATAGTAGTAATTTTTTTTAGTATTAATATTATTAAATTATAATATATATATATATATATATATATATATATATATATATGTATATTATAAAACCATTAATATAAAAATAAAGTAGATTAAGAAAATAAATCACATATGCATCTTTAGGAAGGAATTAAGAATAGATTTTAACAAAACTTACTCCAAAAGACTAAGAATTGATATCGAAAGAGGACCAGTTGTGAATCAAGGTCGAAGTTACATTGTAAGGCATAAAATTGTACACCTACAATAATTCTAGGATTTTTTTGATTGATTGAAGAGTGGAGTTTGCGAGCAAACTTGTGAAAGGTTTTTAGAAAGTTGGTTTCATGTGATTTGAAGGATTAGTGAGGATTTTTACAATCCTACAAAATTTTCTAATTTGATTGAAGCAAAAATTAGTGAGAGTAATTTGAACTTACAAATCTATATATTAGTAAATTTTTGAAAACATAAACAGTTCAACAAGAAAAAAATGTTGTTGAAAGACCATGTCTAATTTGAAAAAAGATGGTAGTTGATATTTGAGAGATTTAAGAGTTTTTTTTTTTTTTTTTTTTTTTTTTTTTTTTGAATTGGTGATTTTAATTTTCATCAAATTTTATATGTTTAATAATTGCTTATGAATTGAAATGTAGGTGAAATTTTAATTGGAATCAATGTTTTGATTAATATTTATTGAGATTTTAAAAGAACTATAGAAATTGATTAAATTTTATTTTGGATTTTTTTGGATTTATTTAGAGTTTATTTAGGAATTGATTTGGATTTAAGATTTAATTAGGATTTGATTAGAATTAGATTTAAAATTTAGGATTTATATAGAATTTGATTAGAATTGGTTTAGAATTTAGCTAAGATTTATTAAGATTCGAATAGAATTTTGGTTAGGATTTAATTAGAATTGGATTAGAATTTCATTAAGATTTTGTTAGAATTTGTTAGAATTGCATCACGATTTTTTTAAGGCTACATTAAGGTTTTGTTAGGATTTACCTAAGATTTACTTAAGATCTATTTAAGATTATTATTTTTAATATTTTAAAAGGATTATTTTTTTGATTTTGTTTGTTTGTTTGTTTTTTTTTGTTTTTTAGATTTTTTTTTAGTATTTTTTGAAGATATTTTTATTATTTTTCTCTAAAATTAATTTATTATTTCTTTATATTTCATTGATAATTTCTTTTAAACTTCTTTTAGATTAATTAAAATTTGATAAGATTTTTTAAGGTTTAATTAGAATTTATTTAAGATTGTATTAGACTGATTAGGAACTTATTGTTACATTTTTCTATATACTTTCCATAGCTAGGTGCTTAATATATTCTCAAGTTAGAATTTATGTTATACAACATCGTGTGCAAATACAATAGTGTTCAAGAAGATGAAGACACTCAAAAACTCCAAAAAATACTTTGATCTTAGATAGTACTTTTTAAGAAACTTGATGTATAATGTGAATTAGATAGTGTTCTTGCTTTAAGGCTCGATCCATTGAATAATTGATTAAAAAAGATTTTAATTATTATTTGGCTAAAATACAAGTTACAAATTGGATGGGATAGAACAAGTGTTGTTAGCATTATAGCATCATTTGGGTTGGTCAATAGTTTTGAGACAAGTTTTATTAAAATCTATTTTTAACTTCTTCTTTAAGATGTCTATATGATTTATTTTCTTAGTTTGCTTTGTTTTGCTTTAATTATGGTCTTACAAAGTAAGTAGAAGTTTTTATTGATTTATAGAAAGACAAAATAAATATTAATAGTTTTTACTACCTTCATATCATTTATCCATATTTTTCTACTATATCTTTCTACTAGGCTCTTCTATAATAAAACTCATATTTTTATCTTTCACCATATAATTATGTTACCATATAATACCATTCCATGCCATCTCATGTCTTCTTCCTTCTCCAAGTTGTTCATCAATATCAATCTTAGCATGTGTTTTGGTGTTTTTCTCGGAGTTAGAATTTTTGGTTTGTTCTCATGCTCATGGCGTTGAATTGTATTCAAAGTGGAATCAATTAAATGTTAACCAAGTGTGGTGTGTTTTATCAATTTAGTAGAAAAAAATTATGTTCATCTTTTTCAAGTTGTCAACCAAAGTTGTTGATCTTTAGTTCTTCTACAATTGATTTCTAGCATTGCTCCTTGTCCTTGGCCTTGGTAGGTGCTCAAAGCAATGTATCAAACTAGACAAGGTAGATCAAGTGCTTTTTAGCATTTCAGCATTATTTATTCTAGTCAATGGTTAATTCATTCTTTGACGTGGTTGTAATTCAAAAGAAACCAGCTATGAGTGTACTAAAGTGTGGACGATTGCCTCAGCCCAATTACTATCAGCCTACAATGCAACTTATGTGTTTTTGTTGTGGTTGTGCAATCCAATCTTTTGAAATTTATGATTTCTAGCAAAAACACACATTCAAGTGCTACAGTCACTGGAATTAGAAAGTACAATGACTATAGGTTAATCAACTTGTGGTTTATGCATAAATTTGATATTTACATGAAGAAATCGCAACCATCGTGGTGGTGTAAGCATTAAGTGCAAAAAAACATTCACATTATATAGAACTCTTCCCAATCCACAAGCATGTTCAAGATCCTTGAAGAAGTAGGTTTTTTTACAAGAAAATCACTATGAATCCAAGGATGTAAAGTTAGAGCCAAATAATTGATTCTTTTATAAATCAAAACTGTTTTGAAGATTCATGGTTGCAAGAATAAAAAAATTGGGTCAAAGCTCTAAAGTATGAGTTGATATAATCTAGAATTTTGTATATTTTGGAGCAAAATGTCATTAGATCAATCCTCCTTTTAATGCCAACGGATACAATTCTAATCTTTTTCAAAATTTGGAATCCAGGAGGTCAAAGGCCAAACCCAAGTAACTATATAAATCTTGCTAAGGTAACTATGTTAAGAATCCAAGTAAATAGAGTTGTATTTGGATGGATCTTTATGAATAAAGTTAGATTAGGGTTTGTAGGAACTTAAGATTTAGATGATCAACTTAAATTGGATGAATAATATATTTTATTGAACCTTTATTTGTGGATAAAAGTCAATTTTAGATGATAATTTATTCTTAGATGATAATTTGGTCCTTGATGAAAATTTAATAGTGGATAATAAATGATTTTGAAAAAATAAAAATAAAAATATTAATTATTTGCAAGCTTGGTATTGAGTGGCAAAGTATATTAATGTTTTTTTTAAAGATTATGGTATTAAGATTGGATTATTTTAGAGAAATTAAGGACCTTTTTAATAAAAACTTAAGCAATAATTATACATAATTAAACACATATGATAATTAACATTGTTGTGAATCAAAATAAACTACCAAGTAATGGGGATTTATTTTAGTTTAAACACCATGATCAAACCCCAGGTGATTCCATTGACCTCCATTGATTGCACAATGAATTGGAAGCTCACAATTAGAGAACAATAACAAGAACAAAGTTTTTATTTCACTTTTGAAAACACTATGTTTTTAAATTGATAAACCTTTTTCCAAAAGGTTAATTCAAAATCACTTGGCATGAGTCACACACAATGAAAGACCAACGTGAAACAGAGCAAAAGACTGGAGGAAGTCTGTTCAGGTTTGAGCACACTCTTTAATACCACGTCTGCTTCTACGTGCACATACCCACAAATGTTGACACACACAGTATTTCGTCTAGCCGAATATTTCTGTCACCCCACAAAACAACACCCACTCACCAAATACCACGTCAGAACCGTCAGTTGATGCTCGACAATATTTGCCTTCTATTTAGACCTGGGTTCCAACTCAAAGCTTCAATTCAAACCTCGACAAAGCTTGCACCGCTGTAACAATTGTAGAGGAAACTTTCACGAGGTGTCGCAA